CCTCAGCCCCCTGCCACCAAGGAGGTAGCAGACCCCCTGCAATCCCACTCACAGGAGACTATTTTAGCTTATCTGTGCCCACACCGATGATGAAATCGGTGATTTCCACGTGTTTCAGAAAGCACTAACTAGCTCCAGCAGCTTTCAGGAACCATTACATAAGGTGCAGCTTCAGACCGCGCTCGGCACAGCCGGTGTCTTGGCCATTCTGCTGAGACTGATGTGGCCTCTGCTCACGGCCCAGCGCTCCTGACTGATGTGTGTTTCATGTCCTATCCGCCTGCCCCAGGGAGCGATGTCCTGATCTACGTGTGGTGTTTGATTTGTGAATGCTGACTCAAAACACAGCCTTTTTTGGTGTTTTGTTTTGTTTTGTTTTTTTTTTATGAGCTTGAGAATTGCCCAAATGGAGTCAATGCAGTGGTCCATCCAGACTGGCAGCCGGGCTTCTAAAGCATCCAGCAGAAATCATTTGAGGTTTGCGATAAGCCTCTCAGCTGCACTTAGTGTTATCCCCCAGGGAAAATGAGCGTGGCAGTTGTTCCTCTTTTCTTGGCCTGAGGATATTGATAGCTTCAAATCTCATGCTTCATTAGCAGAATAACTCCCTTTTTAGTTCTTTTTCCATCTCCTGTATGAGCCCTGGAGTCAGAATCCCCTACATTTCCTTCTGCCTCATTTTAAATAGAGGAGCCTTGCACCTGATGCCCTTTGTCCAAAGCTGTCTATCTCTTCTAGCCTGAGTTGCTCCCTTCATCCTAGCTGCTCTCTGTCTTCATCCCTTCTGTGTCTGGACGTGGCAGAGACACCTCCAGGCAGTGGAGCTTGCTTGGGGGGTGATGTCTGTGTCTCTATCAACTTGACCCTTTATTCCGGGGTGGTGGGAAGTCCTAAGGATTCCTTCTACTCTTCTCCCTCCATCCCACCAGAGAACACTCTCCCACCCCTCATCTTGTCCCGTGCACCTGTTACACAGTAAAAGCTGGTAAAAACTCCTGATATTCTGTGTTTGGTTTGGCACACTTTACTTTTTCTAGTGGTTGTTGTACCCAGTGGACCTGAGGTGATGGAGTTGTGGAGCGGGATTGTCCCGGCTCCCTCCGCACTGTGGAGGCCGCAGCATCTGCTGAAGCCGAGGGCTGAGCTGTACAGTGGTGATACTACGTAGCTATGGTGACGAAACCTGAATGCTTTATTTAGTTCATGCTTTTCCTCCAGAATATCTGCATTTCCTGGTAGGTGCCTGTTACTTCTGCAGCAGGTTCAAAGTGAATCAAAAGCCTGCAGATCAGATATTGTCAATGGCTGGCTGATGCTTTTATACGAGCAGCAGAGACACCCACAGCTCAGCTCTATCTCTCACTAGAGACTTTGTTTTGCCTTTGCATTGCTTTTAAAAGTCTCTTAAAGCACTCTGCGGTGCTGCAAGCGTTTGTTCTGGTTTTACTGTAAGGAAGAATTCACTGTGCTGCAAAGTGCTTGTTTCCTCTCTGGCTATAAGTGCTGTGTTGACCACAGTACCAGTCTGGCTGTGAAGCAAACACTAAAATACACTTTTAAAGGTTTTTCTGTTCTTCTGTTGACTACTTCTGTAATGTTTTTTTTTTTACTTCTTCCCCCCAGCCCTCGAGGTTGTTTTTATTTCTTTGTTCCTCTTTCCAGAAGAAGCAGATTTTAGAGGACCTAAAGCTTCTGTGGTATTTGGCTTGTACAGAGACTTGCATGACAGTGTATTTCAAAAGATTAGTTGGGCTGCTGCTCCTCTTTTTGTCTCCCTAATCAGGGATGAAGCTTTATTATACCCTTCACTGATGGAAAGAGAAGGGTTAGTACTGTTCTGGCTTCTGTGCCAGTCAGTAAAGATGTGTCAGAGGAGAAGCATTTATAAATAGCCTTAAGGTTCTTCTGTCACTATCTGCACATGACTTATCAGCTCGTATGCAGTTTGCTTCTGGACAAGAAAAATGCACAGGGTCAGCTTTTCTTCCTCCTCTTCTAATATATATTTTTTTTTTCCAAAAGAGAAAAGTTTGAGACTGCAGTCTCTGCATTAAGCATCTGGATTTATTTCCAGGCTCAGCCACAGACTCTGTGACCGGGGACAAGCTGATTAGTTTCTCAGCATTTTGTTTTCTCGCTTCTGTATGACTGCCATGACCTTTCATTCCAGGGAGGGTGAGAGGATGTGTGTCCTGGTGACAGTGGGATGCTTTTATTCTGTAGTAGCAGGGAGTCCCCGGAGCCAGCAGTCAGGCAGGCTGGTGTCTGTAACCCATCCAGTGGCAAGTCTTCCACATGTGTTTGATCAAAGGTTTGCCTGCAGAAGGATTCTCTGGTCAGAATGCTTGGCTGTGCTCGTGGAGGACGAAGGAGGGGGGAAAAAGTCCTGTCTCATTTTACAAAGTGGACTTACACTGCTTCTATATTGGTTGGAGACTCTGAAGTGAAATCCAGGTGAAGTTCACTAACTCTTGCTGTTAGATTTCTTCCTGCTTCTCAAACAACATACCTAAGGTTGCACTGTCTGCTAAGAACTAGATATTCTGCCACATGATACAATGCTGTGCTTGTTCAGGATTCCTGAAGTGTGTGGGCTGGAGTCTGTAAGGAGTTCAAGATGGGTTTGTGGTCTCCAGTTTCTGGATTGCCACTTGACATAATTTGAAAGGGTTTTGAGACTGCCAGCGAGCTGTGACAGGCACAATATCCCATGTATGGGCACAGCAAATCTTCTGAAATACCACGGGAGCAGAGGTTTGCGAGTTAGCCTGCTCCTGAAGAATCACCCTGTCACGGTGTCTCATCTCTACTCACAGATAAACTGCATGGAAATTGTTACCCTAAATGGTAGAGAGAGTGTGTGTGTTTCCTCTGGGCAGATGCTCTTAGATGACTGGTGAATAGAACCTGCTGGTTTGTCTTGATGAAGTCTCTTTTCAGTACAGGACTTCAGCCACGGAGCTGCCACGTGTCAGTCAGAGCTGAACACATGAATGTACGTTTTTGGTGACCACGGTTTTGGTCGGTAGCTGCAGCCTGGGCTGCTGGTTGCTTATTGACAAGGCTTTAGCCTGTTCAGGGAAGATATCAAGATAAGGAGCTGCTCTGAAGGTTTAGAGCTCTTGAGCAGGGAGCTGTTGCTGTGCCTCCAGTTGAGCTCAGCCATGTAACGTGGCTGTATGGTGGGTTTTATGGTCTCAGCAAGGCAAGTGTAAATTTCCGGTGTGCTCTGTCTGAAGAGCTCTGCAGACTCCAGTGCCTTGAGTTCATGAGGCCGGCTGCCTGTGGTGCACTTGACCCTCTCCAACCTGGAGAGGTCTTCCCATGTTTCTTTAACCTGCTTCATAACGATGTGATGTGGATCAGTAGTGACCTCATCTGCCTTAGAGCTATTAGTGCTGTCATCAGCACTGATGAACCTTTACAAATTGCCGTGGCAAACTGTATGTTGGTTTTGGGGGGGAATCACCTCAATCTTTCCGTGCTGTATCTTTTCTTTGCCCATATTCATTACTGTTAGTAATGTGATACAAACTGAACTGACAAGGAAGATGTTCTGGATCAGCTTTTGTTATCACTTGTGCTGTTGGTGATTTATCTCTTCCATTACCTTTGTCCAACAGCACTGCAGGAACTCATCTGCAAAACCCTTGCAGCTTCTTACTTGAACTACAGTGTCTCTTTCCAGCCCTCCCTTCCTAAGTGTCCATCTGAATTTATTTCCTGTCTGTGTGTTTTCACTGTGCCCTTGTGCTGGCTCTCCCCAGCACTCTGCACTGTTTGCTCCTTGTCCTGACTTTCTTAACTCCTGTGTGACAGTCTGTTCTGCTCCCTGGCCTTTCTTTTCTTCTGGTTGCTGGAGGTGGTATCCTCCAACTCTCTCAACTCTTTCCAGAACCTTTCTCTTCACGCTACGTGTGCAAGACTCAATAGTGTTAGTGGTTTGAGAGCAGCAAGGGGATATCATCCAGTAAAAGCAAAACTCCTTATAATGCACAGCAGTGAGACTTCGTTAACATTCACTAGATGAGTATATTCTGGGAACTTTCACTGGAGAATATCTTGGATGCTGCTGGATGAGACTCGTTAGGTGCCGATGGTTGATTTCTGAAGAATACAGCAAAATTTGTTACTTCCCTTCTGTTGAGTTGTGAAGCTTTTTACAGACTGTGGAGCAGAGTGGGCATCTCCTGATTCTGCTTCAGGAATCCACCTCTCTCTTTCCTAGAGAGAATACAGATAAGCTACTTTTCCTCTCCCCCCCTCTTTGCACCCCCACCCCGGTTATCTTAGCACGTGATGCCAGAAATCAAACTCCTGTTACAGCAACAGGGTGGACAGTAGGATTACATTTTTTGTCAGTTCTCACCAGCTGTACTTCCAGAATAGAATTTCCTAGACTAGATTTTCTGGGATGCTGAGCAACTGGACATATGCTGTGCCTCAGGCTTTGGCTCTTCCACGGAGAAAGTTCAATAGTGTTATCTGTGAAATGCAAAGTCTTGCTGTTCTTTGCCTGGAGACGTACTTGGACATATGATCCAGGGCTGTACAAGCCTCTGTCCCCACAGTGGAGGAGGGAAGGGTCATATCCACTTTGCAGGTGGGGAAACTGAGGAACAGACTTGATCAGGTAGTCAGCAATGAAGTCAGGATTTTGTGCTGAGCTTCCTGTGACCGATGCAGCGGATTCTTGGTGGAGGTGAAGCTCCCTGAGCTGCCAGGAGGACTGGACACAGTTGCTGTTGGGGGAGGGAGGTGGGAGGGAAGGGTAGAGCTTTATGCTTCCTGTCTTCAACTTGGCTGAGAGCATCTGTGATCACACCTGGACTTTTTTTTTTCCTTCTTTTCAGGGATGCTTGAATACGACCCAGCCAAGAGATTTTCAATACAGCAGATAAGGCAGCACAAGTGAGTGTTCAGCTTCTTCCTATTAGTCATTCTCTTTCTGCTTCTTATGCTAATGTACCTGTGCTATTGCTCTCAACTCATTTTTCCTTTTGACAGCCGACACATGGAAGTCACTAGATATCCTTCCTCCAGCTCTGCTGGAGCTCTGGCAACCTCTACTTGGCTTTTTTTTTTTTTTCCTTCCATTAGAGCATCCGGTTAAAGCATTTGAATTGCTAACCAGTAAATAATGAATATGCTGAAAATATGTTTCTAGCGTGACTGATTCTTGATAATTAAGGATTGTGGATAATTTTTTTTTTTTTTTCAGAGGTCAGCTAGTACTAATGGAGCAGAAGAACAAGGGTTCCTCAAAGCTGGGTTATTGATCTAGGACTATTTAGTAATGTGTGTTAGTTCTGGTTTTCTGGACAGTCTGGTGACAGAAATATCCCTTGGTATTTGCTCCATATGGAATCAGTATGTGCAGAAATGTTCCAGGACAATAGGAAATTTTTTTTTCCTTTCTCTTTAATGTCACACTCCTCCCTCCTCCATATCCTCCCCCTTTATCCTTGCCATTGTCTGAGGGGGGGAAAGGCCCCATTATCTCTCAGGGCTGGGGGGTTTTTTGTTTCTTTTTTCTTTTTTTTTCTTTTTAAAGGATCTGTTTGAACATGCTGCCTCTGAGCAGAGATTTCCTGGGCGGATAAAAGTACAAGAACAAAAAGCATCACAAGGATGCTTCATCGCGGAGGCTGCATTAGCTTATCTCCTATTTGAATAGGAAGTGCTTCTGAGGACACAGCAGAGCTGCCTGCTGGACCGCAGCTGCTCACAGAGGTCCTGCCTACCAGCTTGCCCAGAAAGCTTTGGGGAACCTGGTAAAAACAAGGCTCTGATCCTGGAAGGTGATGGACCTGCTTTGTGCTGCCTGCAGGCAGGAAGAGCGCTGTTTTCTTGTTGTGTCTCTGGAAAAAAACCAGCAGCAGTAGCCGTGTGCTGTCAGATGCTGATCCCTGGTAGATGTTATGGCATGGAAGGCATCTGCAGGAGCCACAGAACAAAACCTGACAGGATTGAACTGCCCTGGCCTTCTGTAGAGGAGACCTGGAGACCTACCCCTGACGAAGATCAAAGAGGCTGGGGAAGCAGGTCTGATGTAGCTGCCTGGTCAATTAATTAAGCAGTCAGGCTGACTCTTTTAAATAGCAGCCAAGCACTGTGCATTGGTTGTTTCACTGGCTCTGGGAGATGATAGAAGCAGGCATTTGCTTTTCAAGCCTGCCTTCCCCATGCACATGCCTCCCAGTAATAGTGGGCCATAAAAGAGACTGCTTGGGGCTGGCCTCTTCAGTGGTGTTTAAAGCACCATATAGAGCTGGTCTTGGAAACAATAGCTCCTGCTGTTCCTGACTGTCCTCCCATCTACCACTGAGGAGTAAAGTGCTTCAAGCCAGACAGCAAAGCACTGTTTGCTTTTGTACTTTGTAATGAAGTAGTTCTCCTGTTCATTACAGCCAGTGTGGGGTGGTGAGCAGCTCTCCAGGCAGTCAAACCCATGCTTTGTCAGTAAGAGCTGCACAGCAGGAGTTAAGTCTGAGGAGTACATTGGTAGGTGTTGAGAAACACACTGGAAGCATATTTTGTTCTTTCCTACCAGTGCTGTGGGTCCAAAGGCTGCAGTTGACCTGCCCCTGAGCTCAGGACAGTGAGGCTGTTCTCCTCTGTCACTATCTGCCAGGTATTTGAGCTACTTAACCAGCTCTAGATACTTGAATTTATAGTTCTCCCATGTGGCAGTGAGTTTTTGCGTCAGCTTTGCCCAGCTGGAAGCAAAAAGGTTTCTCTAGAGACCCTGCCTGTCGTTAGAGAGCAGGAGAAACTAGAGCAGGCTGCTGGCAGGGAGGGCAGTGGCAGATCTCCCATGGTCTGCAGGCACAGCCGGCCTTCTAATTGGGCCCAGCTGCTGGTGGTGGGGCTTTTCATCTCGGAGCACTGAGAGGGGCTGAAGAAAGACTCTACCTGCAAACACAGGAGCATTTCCAAGGCTTAGTCTCTTATTAGTTTTCTGTGAGCTTAGCCAGTGCTTCTTAACAGGCTTTTCTCCCCTATTAGTAATTGCCTCCTTCCTCCTGCTGTGGCATCCTAATAATTACATCGAGCACAGCAGAGCTTGCAGCCTTGGCCTTTGGATGTGTCTGTCCATCTCCTTTTTGTGGAGTAGCATTGTGATAAAGAATCCAGTGTTTGGTTCTCCTGGCTTTTCTTTAAATAGAAGAGAAGCTTAGCCCTTATGCTTAACCTGACCCTGTTTTTTTTTTATTTTATTTTTAATTTTTAAATTGAACAAAGCAATCAGAAGGACAGCAGGGAGCCATTCAGATATTGTCAGAGGGTTTTTAGAAAGCATTTGACTAAGAAAAGACTTGATTTCTAGAATCCTTAGATTTCTAGTGTGTGGGAGAGTAACAGTCATTGATGATTTTGGGTTTCTCTACACTCCTCCCACAAAAGCATGTGTTAAGGCACAGGAACTAGACTATAGAAGCATCAGGAGACTTACCCGGGCTGCCCTGCTGAGATGGATACTGGCTCAAACCAGAATTACCCGGTGCCTTTCCGTGCTGCTGGAAGTCTCCTTTTATGCCTTTGAGCTGATGTTACTGGTGACTTGCTCAGACAGACAGTTGAGATTATCAAAGTGCACTGAAAATCCACAGGAATAGCCCACATGTCCTGGGCAGCCAAACGCTGCTACAACGGGCTCGTGTCAGCACGATGGGCAGGGGACATGTTCCTCTGTCCTGCAGGGAGGGGTGATCCCAAGGGAAGTGTCCAGGAGCAGGTGTCCTGTGAAGCTGGGCACTCTGGATCCATCCAGAGCTGTGCTGCACACGTGCTGGATAAACAGCTCACGTTTCACCTTCCATCAAGGGATTTTTCTTGCTCTTGTAGTGGGATCAAGGATAAAAGGCTTAATCAATGGGGCAGAGGAAACACTGAGGAAGTATTGAGTATCACTCTGTGGAGCAACAGAGCAGCAGAAGGCAGAGGAGGCAGCTGGGCACGTGTTTATTGCCCAGTGAGGGTAGTTCTGCTGTTCCTCCCTTTATCCTTGTCAGCTACTCCAAATGCTTTCCCCGCCGTAGTGGCAGCCCCATCTGCAGAACACTGTAAGAAAAGTCTGCTTAGTTTTATACCTGCCAGCTGCCTTCCTCCTCTCTTTACCTCCATAGCTAAATTCTTGCATCAAACTCATGTTTCTGCACTTTAATGTTTTAAATCAGCAGGACAAAGCTAAATTCTCTTCTCCTTTGCTTGCAGAGGCTTTTCGAAGCTAGTCCATCTGTGCAGTGCAGGCCTGCGAGTCGTAAATTGAAATGAATTAAAACTCTCAGCCTGTCATCTAAGAGTTTATGAACTGCCAGAAGCTGATCCCTGAATAACAATGACAGAGCCTTGAAACCTGCTCTTCCCAGAAGGATCTGGATAGGATGATGTTCAATGGAAAACTGACACTTTTAGTTCACCTCTGAATATTTTGTACTCCTGGGGCGGAGGCGTGGGGCAGCGAAGGAAAAGCTGCCAAGAGCCAGGGAGTTCACAACCTGCTCCCCACAGATTATTCACCATTTACTCTCTACCCTGTGCTTTTGCTGAAGGGTTTAATGCTCATACACTGCATTTTGTAACTAATTCACTGACCCTGCTGCAGCACTTAAAGTGATGAAGTGGATGCAGAATTCTACCTCTGTCCCTTGTTTCCAAGGCAACCATCTTGCCTTCCTTTTCCAGAAGTGTCACACTTAATTTGTTCAGTCATAGATACCATTGCAAGAGTTTATAGCAAGAAAGGGAAGGCACTTCCACCTTTTATTAGTGGAGGTGCAAATTAACCTGCTGTGCTAGTGTTTCCTCCTGACCTCCTGGAGACTCCCCTGCCACCTTCCTGGGTGCTTTTTGCTCACACCAGAGTCTTCCCCGAGAGGTCTGGAGGGTGGCTGTTGGATGCTCTGCCACACTGTTCAAACCCCAGGTACTGAACCCCTTGGAAATTGGTGTTTCTTGCCACTGCAGATTCCTTTGCAGGTGCTGAGCATGCTCCTTGCCTTCTGTGCCTGGATTTGAGGGAGTGAGAGGGGTTTCCCTTTAACCTCTGCTGCAGCCTGTGTGCTCACGGGCTTTCCCACCCCTGCTCTGTGGTATCAGGCAGTCGTCTCCCCTCGGCAGGGCACACACAAAAAACACTCACTCCTCCTCTCCTCTCCTTTCCTGCCAAGGCACCAGGGTCTGCTGTCCTTCCCCGTGGCAGGCTCATGGAAGGGATCTTTGGTTCTCCCCACATTGTACAAACTGGTTTCATAATGCAGCCGTGTATGGTGTGTTGAGGGAATGTGAGTCTCCCTCCGTGCTCAGAACCCCTCTCCTTGGGAGTCTGAACAGCAACCTTTGGCCTGAGCATCAGCTGAGGGAAAACAGCTTCTCTTTCTTACTCATTTCTATTTTCTTACTCATTTCCATTTTCTTACGAATCTGACTTAAGAATTTGGGCGTCTCTTGATGTCACAGGAGTTGGAGCAGTGACTGCAGGGCCACCACTATATATTTATTGCTCGTGTGTGTTGCTGTTCCCCAGGGCACGCTGCTGTGTGCCTTCCACGCTTGTCTGAATGAAACTGGAGTGCTGTTAGTTGCTTCTTGTGGTGACAGTGACCTTCCAGTAAGCTTGAAGCTTTTATGTGGTATCATGGAAGGCGGAGAATCATTCATAACCAATCCTTGCTGGCAGGGTGGTGATCTGCAGCTTGGCATCTGCTTTCAGAGAAAATTGTCCATAGACAAATCAAGCAAACTGAAGTATTTGCGACCGAGAATGGGAAGTGAATTAGCTGTAAGTATTTGGAAGCTGCAGCTGTGCTTACTGATTCTTATTTTAACCTTGCTTATACCAGAACATGAAAAGAGCAGAGTGATGACTCCTGGTATAAAATTTGAGCTTGGAAGCTGCAGAGCAAACAGGCTCATTAAGCATTGGTCAACCCAGATTCCTTTTTCCATTCAGTCCCTGACCCTTGCTGTCTCAGCTCCCTGTAGATGATAGCAACCTGTCTGGACACGACTTCTTCACGGGCAGGATCACGATTAATACTTGTGCTGCTGCTGTCTGGAGCTCCTGTGCTTCGCAGGGATTCTCATCAAGCTTGCAAAGTAGTAAGAAATGATCTCCTTACTCAAAGGGTTGGGAGGGGCTGAGAAACATTTCACAGACCAGAGAGGAATCTGCCTCTTCCAGGGGATGTTCTGGACAAGGGGCACTTCTGAGACCTGCAACAGCTTCTCTTGTCCCTTGGTGTTAAAGCAGCAGTCTGCAGGCTCCAGGTAAAGGGCTATCTGCCAGGGCAGCTGGCTCAGAAAACATGAGTGAAACTGGGAATAAATGGTGCAATAGGGCACTCTGACAGCAGTGCTCTTGTCCAGCCTGTGGTGTAGGGTCAGTGGTGCAGGCAGGGTGAGGAGGGACTTTCTCTCATCTGCAGTGCTGATTAATGGGAGAGGAGCTGCTTTCTGGCTTAGTCAGTGACCGGTAGCTTCTTGAGCCAGATTAAAGCATTTGATGGAGCCAGTGGTCCTCTGCTGAAGAGCAAATCTGCACTAATAACATTTACCATAACCAGTGCAGAAAGCAGAATCCCTGTCCCTGCTGGAAAATTGCTTGCCAGGAAATACTCTGCTACTCCATACAGAATTGCTTGAGGCTCCTTCCAAGAGGTCTTTTGATTTTTTTTTCTTAGAACTTCAATGAATTTCTCTTCTCACTCTGTATCCTCATTACCATATATGCATATGCAAGTATTTGAAATCGCCTCCCAGAGGATGGAATCTTTATGACTAGAGTACAGTGATTCAGGTTTCTGCTGTAATAAAAACCTATTTTTACTCTCCTGGTAAGTAGGACGGAAGGAAAGAAAGAGGCAGAGCTGAAATACAGCAAAATAAAAACACTGGTTGCTATAAACTTCTAGGCTTTCTCCCTTTAAAATACTCCTTTTAATGACAGTCATTCTGATCTCATTTGTCCTGTATATTCCATCCTCCTTAGGCCTCTGGCATTTAGTTTGGGTCCCTTTAGCTCTGGTGCCCTTGGCAAAAACAGCTGGTGACTGTTGGGTCCTCTGTTGCTGGGCTAGATGATCCTGCCAGGGCTGGGTCAGCCTGGGCTGAATTTGCTGTCTTGGCAGTCACTTCCTTGGTGAAAGCATCCTCCCAAGAGGAGGAAATCAAATGATCACATTAGGAGCACCATGTGCCACGCACATCACCAAGGAAGCCACCCACAGGGCTTGCTAGAACCACTGGCCAAAATCTTGTTAGGTCGGACCTGCTCACTTCCTGCTAGTCCAGTAGCTGGGGTGGCCTTTAATTTCAATCTGGTAATGCCCCTTCATGAACCAGAGGTCAGAGGTGGCAAATTAGCTCTTCATTCTGTTCTCTGTCACTTTCCTAACACACTGCAGCTCCCAGTACAGTGCTGGTGTGACTGGGAAAGAGATGCCGGTAGATCAGCATCGGTGTGTGACTGGAACGTGCCGGCCTCGTCGCTGTTTGGGGTGTTGTCCATCCACTCAGACTGTTGGCATGGAAGGATGTGACATGATTCCTTGCATGATGTTGACTTGCTGTGTGATTAATTAACCAACATACATTTCCTTTCAAATCTTAAGGCCGTAGGGGCTGCGTCGTTCTTTCTGCAAATGGCAAGGAGCCGCGTTCCTCGTAGAGCAATAGACTGACTTTAAAACTCAATCACTGCAGAGAAAACAGTTTACAGATGCTAATTGTGAAGCAGGGTTTCTGGATAAGGGTTCATGCCTCCTTTGAATCCTAGCTGATTTGTCCCAGTAGCTACATTTTCATTTCTTTCTCTCCTACCTCCTTGCTTTTGCTGGATACTTTTGTTAGAATGCCACTTCTTTTTTTTAAGGCCTACTGTCAAAGCAATGTAAGACTAAAACAAAATTATAATTACAATTCTTCTGTGCAGGAGGTGCATCCAACCCTTACTTCCTAAAATGAATTTGGAACAGGAGTGATAAAAACCAGATGGCTCAGGTTTATAAGAGCTCTTTGGTGACTGGCTTCAGGCCCTCCTCGGCGGTTATCAGCCAGAAGTTACTGGATGCCTGTGCAAACTCTGGAGGGGGAAGCACTCGTGTCACATCAGGCTTGTCTAGGGCAGCAGTCGTCAGGCCAAGAAGTGAATGTACCCTGAGGGGATAATTTTAGATCTTGCTCTGCTTTTGAGGTGTGTTTTCAGAGGGACTTTAAGTTGCTTCCTAAAGCAGCACCCTTTTGTGACCCAAAGTCAACTTTGAAAGGGGGTGAAAAAGCTTGGACTTCCAGGCTGCCTCCTGCTGTGAAAGACTCCGAGGGTCCCTTTGTGCAGGTGAACAGCATCTACATAATATTTAGCGAGGTGAGTACAAGAGTGCAATTGATCTGGTGAGGCTTTTCTTGCCTTTGTTACTGTGCAAAAAACAGGAAGAAAAGGTCCCAGTGGCTTAACTGACATCCAGCCCACAGCGTAGGAACAGGGGGTTGGTGTCAGTGCCAATTCAGAAAGCAGCTGCAGTTCAGGAGCTGGCCCTACACGTGCCTTTCTGACCCTCCCTTTGTGCAGAGCAACCCTCCAGGGTAAGAGCCTGATGAAGTGTCTTTGTAGGACAGTCTCCCTGCTGGCAGGGACAGCCAGGGACACACCAGCAAAGGCAGCAGAACACCTTTTATCGGGGAGGGGATGGAGGTACCCATCGCGTAGTGCCGAGGATTTCTCCCTGCCTTCTGAGAAGCGAAGCTGTGCTGATGAAACTCTGCTCTTGGACTCTTTGCAGTTGGTTTCGTAAGAAACACGCTCAGGCAGAGGCTCTGGTGCCCATACCTCCTAGCCCAGAAACAAAGGACAGATGGAGAAGTATGACGGCGGTGCCTTATCTGGAAGATCTGCATGGCTACAATGAGGAAGAAGATGATGACTTGTATGACATTGAAGATGATATCATCTACACTCAGGACTTCACAGTACCAGGTAGGAGAGAATGATGCTGGGAAGGGTAGCACAGAAGTGGCTTTTTTTTTTTTCTTTTTGTCTGTTGAAAGCTTTTTAGGAAAGGCCTTGAGGTCTGAATAATCCTTTTAGCAGTGGAGGAGACTATTGATTATTAAGTGGTGTGAGTGACGCATAGTGAGTGAGCCATGATGCTCCGGATGCCGTGGTCCTTTATTTGATCAACCAGGATGCCCCTTCCTGCGTGTCACCCATCTGCCAATTTCCTTCCTTCATCCAGTAATAGCTTGCTCCTGCTGGATTCTGTTGTTTAGCACATTTAATTCTTTTGGCCAGTTTTGCTGGACTCTTGAATTATTTTGGAGCAGAGCCCTAAAATGACTCAGTGTTCAGAGGAGATGGCACATCTGGGGAAGAAGGGTGCTGGTAGCTTTACACTGAGACCTTTTTTTTCTGCTCCAGTCTTGGTAACTCTCTGGTTACAGAATTGCTTCTTTCTTTATTAGGGATTTCCTGTTGTTTTAAGGTAAGTTAAGCAGTGAGTACGGGGGGGGGTGTGGTTTTAACCACGCAGTTCTTACAAAGTGGTGGTAACCAAGTCGCCTTCCTTCTTTGGCCTCTCTGTACCTCTGAGCCATGTAGCTTGTGAGCAGAAGGCTGAAGGGCTCGTCTGTGGTCAGACCAAAGACAAAGGCTGCTCAGCTTTATGGCCATCAGTGCTGTATGATCCAGCAGCAGTTTTTGTCTCACTGCCTGTGCTCTTGCTGCCTGCATCAACACACCCCACCTTCTGGATTGATCACACCAGCCTGGTTGAATTGTTTTGGAGGTTTCAAGTGCTGTTTGCAGGGATGATGATTTACTTCAGTGTGATCAGAGGTACCTGTGACTGACCTTTCCTTGTGATGAGGAAAGCCCTGGTTTCTGTAGTTCAGGACTAACCAAACTGCTTTAGTTTTTCCTCAGTGATGGCCTGGTGGGCTTCTGTGGACCCGAGTAAAAGCGAGGTCTGGTTTTACCAAACCTTACACCTGAAGACCTTGGTTTTCTCTTGGTTTCCTTGTGAGGCAGAAGTTGCCTTTTTGAGGCACTATCATGGAAGGATAAAGTGCCAGGCTGGGAATTGTCATAAGCCTCAAATTGACCCCAATGCCCAAAGTTTCTTGGGGCAGCAACTCGAAACAAGACTGGCTTCCCAGGCAGCACCTTCGAGGGCAGAAGGGGAGAGGCTGCTTTGAGCCCAGGTCACTAAGCCAGCGCTTGGCTCCATGCTGTAGGACATCCTTGGGTGACAGTCCCCACCGGGGTGTCCGTTCTGATGTTCAGCCAAACGGATACGTAGGTGGGTCGGAGGTGGAGCCTGCCAAGATGAAGAGAGTCTCATCAAAGTGAAATAGATTTATTTCCAAGTGCTGATTCACTGGTGACAGTCGGGTAATTTATAACCTTTTCTAATAGAACTAATGTCCCAGTGCCAGCTGGGTGACCTGCAGAGCTCTGTCCTTTGCTCTCTTCTTGCATCCCGCAGGCTTTTGTGCTAGAATCTGACCAGGGCCAGGCCTTTCCTCACAGCTTAGTGGAGGCTTTTTGAAAGGAGGGATCCTCTTAAAAATGCGATAGACTCGCTGAAGCACATACTTGATTGCTAGGGCCTTTCTAAGTACAGAAGCAGGAGAGAAGAGGACTTGCAGATGCTTTCCCCGTTGTCAGAGGTGAGCCATTTTCCTCTGCAAGAGCTCTCGCCAGGAACAGCCCGTGCGTAAGTGCCTGAGATGTAATTCTGCAGAAATGCTGGGGCTGGAAGCCCCATCGCAGACCGTGGGGCCTGAGCACAGTGAGAGGCTGCCAGGCTTCAAAATCCATAACCAGCATCACTTGCATTCCTTTCTAATTTTCCATTTTCCTTTCTGAACTGGTTTCAAGAGGCAGAGGAAGGTATGGTTGGTCTGTGTGTGCCCATAATCTCCCTTGGATGATCATCTTTTCCAAGATGATAACCTCTGTGAGAGTGGATCTGTTGCATCTCATAGTTTACTATCTTGCAGCCAACCCAGGAGCCCACAGGACAGTCTGGTACTGCTTTTCTGGTGCCAAGCATGTGTGTGTCTCTAACGGTGCTCTGTTGCTTCCATGTGCGTTCCCAGCTGCAGAGGAGGAAGCTGAGGCAGGGCTTAGAGGACAGAGCAGAGCACTGAGCAGTCATGACGAGCTCTTTGGAGAGGAAGCCGTGCTCCCGTCGGCCACGGGCACAGAAGAAGAGCGTGAAGCTTAGCCTAGGCCCCAAAGCCACTGCCCTCTCACGATTCCCATGGCCTGAGCTAAAGGCAGTGGCTGGAAAGTCCAGGATCATCATCTTCCTTCCACCAGGCTTCAGCGGGATCCTGCCTGTCTCCAGGACAGTTGTGTTATTTCAAAAGTAGATAACTTTGTTCAGCAAGGGAATCATTCTTTAGTTTTTTGGGTTTGTATTTTTAATTGAAAGGTAACTGTAGGGGTTCAGTGTGCTGCAGAGGAAGATGGTTTGTGACCCCTTGCAGAGTGGGTTCCTCAGCTTGGGAAACCCAGCCCGTTCCTGCAGACCTGCCCCTCGCATCGTTCTGTACAGAAGATGCCTTCCTGTCTGTTCTCACTCTCCTTAAAATGTTTTGTTTCTTTCTAACTCCTCCAGTGGTGATCAGCCTGCGTTGCTGTCTGGTTTGTGCTCTCCAGGGTGGTTAAAAAGTGGAACCTGAGGCAGACGTACAGCGTTAGAGAGTGGCTGGGGG